ACAGCGGGATTGAGCCTGACCAAGGTAAAGAACAGCTCCTGCAGGACCAAGATCTGTGTTGTAGGGGGTTATGGCAACACCTTGGAGGCAATTCCATAAAAACCTTCCCCAGTGAGACTCGATCACCACCTCTGTTTTGACATTTGATGTTCATTTGGAATATGGCTGCTGGGTGATGGTTAAAGCTGAAATTAATATTTGCAGTCACTTGTCTGTGCGTGTGGTGGGAATCTGAGAGCTGCAAGTAGCTGCCTAAGCAGATTTAAATTGATAAAATAATTCTGTAGAGAATTATATATGTATTTATATAGTATATGAGTAGTGTTTTTATACTGATATAAGTTATTGCTATCTGATTTTTATTTCTAAAGGACTGGGTTCAGAAGACTGTAACCCGTTAAATATGAGCATAGAGGCGGAAATGGCCATTGAGCAAATGAAGGAGCAACATCACAGGGATCTCTATCACCTCAAACAGGAGCTTGAAGACACGGTAAGTGCTGGAATGAGAAATGAGATGGTCTTTAAGGTCCTTTCCCACCCAAACCATTCTGGGACTCTCTGATCCCACTAATGAACAAAGCTTTGCAGGGGAAATCAACATGAGATGCTGATGTGTAAATCAAAGTGTTCAGTGAAGTGTATATATAAAACTACAAGATGGAAATATTGAGGGGAAAACATCTCTGTGGGAAGTGAATTAATCCAACCTGTTCTCCTTTCATAGGTGAGCCATTATGAAAAGCAGCTGGACGAGACAAAAGCCCGCTGGGAGAAGGAGCAGGAGGACCTGAGGAAGAAGCACTCCCAGGAGATGAATGCCATGGAAAAGCAGATCCTTGACCTCAAAACTCAGATAGCAGAGCTGCAGGGAGAGGCAGCAGCGCTCAGGGAGCAGCAGGAGGAGCTCGACCACAAACACAGCGACGAGAAGGACAAACTACGGATGCGCTCGGAGGAGGAAAAGGCCAACCTGCAGGAGCTGCTGAGGCAGGAGCACGAGGAGGACGTCAGAGCCAGGCTGGAGGAGCTGAACGAGAAGTTCAGTCAGGAGCGGGAAGAGCTGATCCAGAACGGCGTCTGGGTGGAGGAGAGGATGCGAGTCCTGGTGCGGACGCTGCGGGAGGAGAAGGGAGAGCTGGAGCGCGGCTTCCACGAGCAGCTGAAGAGGCTGGCGGAGGTGCACGCCCTGGAGAAGGAAGAGCTGCAGCAGGAGCTGCTGAGGAAGCACGAGCAGCAGCTGGAGGAGGAGAGGTGAGTGTCTGGTGCGTGGGGTGCTGATCTGAACCCCCACGGCTTGGTGTGGTGGCCAAGCTGGGCCCGGTGCAGATGAACCCGTGACATTTCATTCCAAGCGTTCTGACCCCACGCTGCTGTTCCCTGTTCTGTTCCACGGCGCTGGGCTGCTCACCAGGGGTTTTTCTTCCTTCTGACCTTTCTCAAGCAGATCTTTATGTTGATTTTTAGCTTGCCCAGAGGCAGCGAGGGTGTTGAAGCACAACCAGGCGCGATTAACTTGTGGTCTGTTCAGGATCCCTGGGCTTTGAAAACCCAAATGTTTTAGAAGGATCTGTAGAGTTCTTTGCTGAATAAGGAAAGGGATGGCTGGGAAATGCCTTTTTTTTTTTTTTTAGCCAACATCACGTGTCAAAAGCAACTGAAACCATCCTGGGGTGATGAGGGAGATGAGGGTAAAAACATCTACCCCCACAAATCTGAGCACAGGAACAAAAAGGGGCACACATTGCCCCCCATGAAACCTTTTCTGAGGACATTTCACGAGTTGTTACACTTTTCCAAACCTTTTCCTTTTTGAAGTTTCACCAAATAGCCTCAGTTTTAACCTTAGCTCTCAGAAACACCCGTGCAATAGCGCGAAACCCAGTGAAAAAAAGGGATTTTCCAGCTCGTTTTAGTCAAAAAGCCATTTTTGAATCTCTTTGAGGTCGCCCAAAGCTCAGTAATATTTTATAATTACCACGTTTAGGAATAAAATGGCAAGTGACTATAACAGAAGAGCATCTCATGCACAGAGCCAGTTTTCTGTGGACACACAAATGCTTGTGAGCAAATATGAAGAAAGCCTGCAGAGCCTGGAAGGGCGTTACCAGCGGGAGCTGCGTGAACTCGCCGAGCAGCGGAGGGAGGAGAAGTCCCAGTGGGAGTTCGAGAGGGAGGAAATCGCTCAGGAGGTGGCTGAAGCCCACGAGCACCTGAAGGAGAGCCTGGCGAACGAGAAGGCCGTTTCTTCTGCCCTGAGCCAGGAGAGGGACCTGCTGGAGAAGAACTTCAAGGAGGAGGTGAACAAGCTGGTGTGCGAGAGGGAGCAGCTGGAGAAGGAGCTGCGAGACCTGAGGAGCGCTGCCGAGGAGCAGGAGAAAAAGCTGAGTGGGGAAATAGCCCAGCTCCAAAACGACCACGAAAAAGAGCTAAGGGACAAAGATGAGTTAATATCCATGGTGGAGGAAAATGGGAAGCTGGTTAGGCAGAAGCTGGAGAGACTGGACAGTGAGTATAAGCAGGAGAAAGAGGAGCTCAACTCCAGGCTCCTTGCTCTGGAGAGTTTAAACAAAGACATTTGTGCGAGGGCAGAGACAGAAAAGGCAGAGATGAGCTCGGAAATCTCAGCCCTTCGAGGGAAAATCCAGAAACTGCAGTGGGAGGCCCGTAGCTTTTCCGCCCTGCGGAGCCACTACAGGGCCCTGGAGAGCGAGTACGCAAAAGCCAAGAGCAAAATTGCTTCTTGCCCTGGTACAGCAGCTCTGGGGGATGATGCAGAAGTCTTCCAAAACCTGCAGAAGGTGCACGAGCAGGCTGTGAAGGAGAATGTCAGGATGGCTGCCCAGATCCTCCGGCTGCGGCACCGGCTCCGAGCCGCGCAGCGGGAACGACCTCCCAGTCCCGGCTGCTCCGACTCCGGCTCAGAACCAGAGGGAACAGATCCCAGTTTTGAAGGGCTGCCCAGTGATTGTCAAGATGAAGAGAAGGGAATGGATTCCAACGTCCCTCCGCCTTTGGAGGGTGATAGCACAGACATGGAAGATCTGACAGAGGTGGATTCAGATTTGGAGGAAGGACGTGCGAAAGCCGGAGAGGGCGGCAACTCACTCAGGGCACAGGGGTGTTGGATAGAAGGAAGTGAAGCAGCTCAGGATGCTGATGGCAATGAGGATTGTGACAGGAACCAAGAGCTGCCTTCGTGGGTGCCTCTGCTGCCAAAAAAGAGGGATCTTGAGAAAGTTCCTGGAGCAAAAATGCTACACAACGATGTTAAACTGCAGAAGGTTCCTCCTCTAAATGGCAGAATAGCTCCCAAAAATAGAGGGCTTGTTTCTGATGCTTTGAAGCTGCAGGTTGAGCTTGAAAAGGCTGAAGAACTGAGTGAAGCCTCTTCCCTGTTGGATCACGCTCCTGGATCAACAGGTGGTGACCTGAAGAGCGTTATAGCTCAGCTTTGGGAAAGGGTTGAAGAGTTGGAAGACAGATCCATGGCACAGGCCGAGCTTCTGTCACTACAGGAAGAAATCCAGGTGGAAAATGAGGATCTGAAAGCTGAAATGATACAGTTAATTGAAAGGAATAAAGTGCTCGAAGACAACCTGCAAAGGCTGAGAAGCCTTCATCGCAGACGGGAAGACAGTGAGCTGGAAAGCGACAAGTTCAAGGAGGGAAACACAGAGCTCCTCCAAAACATCACGGAACTGGAAGGTGTCCAAGAACAAAACCCTCAAGGAAACACAGATCTGCACAGTGGCACAGGAGGTGGGAAGCAGGAAGAGCTTCCCACAGCATTCCCAGGTCAGCGAGACGATTCCCGGAGCGACGGCGCCGCGGCGAGAGGAGCGTTGGCGGAAAAGAGGGAGCCGCGGGAGCCCGACCAGGAGGAGGGAGCGGCTGCTCCGGGGGTCCCAAGCCGCGAGGGCGAGGAGAGGAGCGTGGTGACGCAGGGCCTGCAGAGCACGTGCACTGAGCTGCAGCAGAAGGTCGATCTCCTGAGGTAACGTAGCCTCGCGGCGCCGCTAACCCGACGCGCCGTAGCCGCACTAACCCCGATCCCGCCCGGCGCTCCGCACGGCTCCTGCGCTATTAACCACTCTTAGACTAACTCTCTCTCGAGTAGCAATCAGTGCCACGGACTCCTAACTCCTCTAATCCTGGATAACCACCGTTGGAATACATAAATACATAAATGAATGAATGAATGCGTGTGGCTTCTCTCCCTGACCACGACCTAACAGGAGTGGTGAGACCAGGAGCGACCTGCCCAGCTGTCCTGTGGATGTGGTCACCATCGCAGCGTGTAGCTCACAAAACCCCCGTGTTCCCGTGCCCAAAATCCGTGGTAACACTTCCAGAACGCTTTTTTAGCTTTTACTAATATCACCTCACTCCTTTTTTTCCCTCCTAGTCCCGAGCGTTGCTGGGAATGCTGAAATCGCTCCCGTTTTTCGCAGTGTTTCACTTTAACCCTAGAGGATTACGGTGCTTTGAAATGTTAAAAGGGCTTCTGTTCTCCCCCAATATTTAAGCTAATACAAGAGAATTGTAGTGACTTTTTTTTTTTCCCCCCCAATGAGGTGTTTGATATGGTAAATACCATTATAACACAGAGAATAGCATAGGTTTTACCTGCTTGTTTGTAACTGCCGTATTTCAGCAAGGATTTTTTTTTTTTTTAATGAATAAAGTGGCTACAAGCGGCTTAATTATTGTTCAGCACCAGCTTCCTGCAGGAAATTGTTCTTTCAGGTGCTGGGCCGTGGCTAAGTTATTTCTGTACAGAAAAGACACTTTCCATCAGTGCAGTTCCCAGAATTCTGAGTTCCGATTGGGGAAAACAGCTTGTGCTCTCCTGGCAACCTGCATACTGTGGTGTGAAGTTGTTTGTAACTTCAGGGCTGAAAGATACAGAAGCTTTTCAGATTTTTAAGTGTACAAAAACACGCCAAAAAAAAAAGCCCCCTTTTGTAATGAACCAGGAATATGAGTATACCACTTATACTTAAAACAAGTTCTGCTGCAGCCTTATTTTGAAGCATTACAGGTTATCTCAGGCCTGGGGGACTTTTTTCCCCTCCATGGATGTTCCTTAGGCAGGAACTTGCTCTCACCGTCTCCTCTCTCCGCCCCAGGTGCGAGGCCGAGAAGCTCCGAGAGGAAAACGCCGTCCTGAAAAACGAAGTGACTTTGTTGAACGAGGAAGGAAGCGCTTCCAGCCTGAAACTGAGGGAGCTCAACGGATCCAGGGAGGAAATGAGGTGAGAATTCCGTGGTTCAGCTGTTGCTGCCGTAGAGTGGGTTTATCCCTCCTCTCCGAGCTCCTTCGCGTGTGGGTTGTTCTACAAATGGGCTTATTTCGTGGTGCCGCTGGAAAGGCTGTTCCTCATCCTTTTCCCTGCCCGTTCCTGGCAGCCAGGATTTAGCTTTAGGCATTGAGATGACCCAGTAACACACTGAGGAGCTGACCTGATGCCGTTATTTGTGCTCCAGCAAAGGCAGGGGAGGGCGCACGTGGCAGATCATTCCAGTCATTTGGTGTCTGGGAAGCGCAGAGCCCTCCGTGATCCCGGGATCATTCTTCCCTTCTCTAGGATAAAGAGCTCCATGGGGCACCTTGAGGGATTGAATTCCTGCCAGATTTACTCATGAGCAATAAATCAATCAATAAATAAATAAATGTCCAGAATTGGCATTTCTGGCGATGTTAAAAAAAACCCAGCCCGTTCTTAGAATGGGGGAATCATTAAGGTTGGGAAAGACCTCTAAGGTGTCGTCAAGTCCAACCCATTAACCCAGCACTGCCAGATCCACCACTAAACCTTGTGTCCCCAGGTGCCACGTGCACGTGTTTTTTGAGCACTTCCAGGGATGGGGACTCCACCACTTCCCTGGGCAGGCTGTGGCAGGGCTTGACAAGCCCCTTCGGTGAAGGAATTTTTCCTGATATCCAACCCCCACACAACTTGAGGCTACGTCCTCTTGTCCTATCTTAATTAATGTATTAACAAGTGATTTTAACATTAATGAGCTTTTATTTTTCCTTAGGCAAAAGATAGAGGCTGTGAGGAAGGAGAAAGTGGCCGTACAGAAGATGGTTGAGAACCTGAAAAAGCAGGTGGGTGCTCAGAGCCCAGAACCTTCCCTCTAGAAACCACCACTGCCTAAAAACTGCTCCTTGGGTGGTCACAGAGGTGGCAGAAAACCACCATTTTATAAATTTAAACGTTGATAACTGTCCTCATTATCTCCCTGGGATTGGTTTGAGGCTTGTTTGACCTGCTCAGAAGACTTAACAGCTGTGATTATCCAGCTCACGGGCAGCCCTTTCCAAAGTCAACTTGGAAAGTTTATTTCGTAGAAAATACAAAGTTTAAATCTTTGGTTTGCAGCCTTTGTGGGTAATGCTTTGCAGTAGCAAATGGAAGATGATGGGAAATGGAGATGATGTGACTCAGCCTCTGCTTGTTTCCCAGCTGGCTGGGTCTAGGAATGCTGCCAGCTGCTGTTATCCATGGTTTTGCTGCTTTTATTTTAAGGGTGGTTTGTTCTGCTGGCCAAACTAGAAGGTTTAAGTGGCTTTTACATTCATGTCCCCCTCTCAGGATTGCTGAGGGAAGTTCTTCTTAGAATAACCTCCTAGGACATCCACATCAGCCTGGCAAAGGGTGCTGTGCTGGGTGACTGATATAATTGGTCTAATTAAGGCAAATTAACTGGTCAGAGTCACTGCTGGAGTGACACTTGGCAGATCTTTAATCACCCTAATGGAAAGGAGATGTTAAAGACCTCATTCCCAGTGGAAAATCGGTCATAGCTGACACTGCTGTCCCCCCCTCCACTCAGGTGGCAGATCTGAAGACCAGGAACCAACAGCTGGACTCTGAAAATACGGAACTGAGCCAGAGGAACTCCAAAAATCAAGCAGATGTGCAGGATCTTAATCAGCAGCTGGCAAGGGTGCTGGAGCAAAAGGAGAGGGAGGAGGGAAAGTGTACCCTGGAAGAATGGGAAAAGGAGAGACTGGTACTGAAACAGGAGCTGGAAAACTCCAAAATAAAGGTACAGGATTATACTGGGACAGTTGGACTTCCAATTGGAATGGGCATCCCTGTGTTGGGATGTGTGTGTGTGGGGGGTGGTTTCAGAGCTGAACTTTAAGTTCAGGGGCAGGAAGGAAAGCCTGGCAGCAGCCAAAAGCCAGGAGGTAAAAGTGTGCAGGTTGGCCTTGAAAATGATGCCAGATATTTCCCTGCACTCCCCAGCATGGCTGTTGTGTTCATCCAGTGCCATCCCAGCTCTATCCACTCTCACTGGCTGCAGCATCCTCTGCTTGGCCCTTGGTGCTCTGGGAGTCTCCTGAATCGAAATCTGAGCCCTTTTCTTCTTGCAGTCCTCAAATCTGGTGTCGTCTTTGGAGATGGAGGTGTCCAAGATGAAGGTTCAGGCTCATCTGATGGAGCAGGAGAACCACATCCTCAAGCAGGAGCTGGAGAAGACAAAACAGGTATGGATGGCATCCTATTGCCCAGAGAAGCTGTGGCTGCCCCTGGATCCCTGGAAGTGTCCAAGGCCAGGTTGGAGCACCCTGGGCTAGTGGAAGGTGTCCCTACCCATGGCAGGGGGTGGAATGGGATGGGCTTTAAGATCCCTTCCAATTCAAACCATTTTGTGATTCCTTTTGAGTGCTGTCAGATAATTCTCACCATCTCTGGGTTGAGAAAAGTTCATTTCCTTAAAGAAAAGTCATCAAAAGTAAGGGAATGTGACTCCTCTTGAAATAGTGTCACTGAAACAATGCACAATTGTTCAAGTAAGGTTGGGCTCACTTAAAATTTGCCAAAAGATTTTTTTGGGGGGAGTGGTGGATCTACAGGGAGAAGCTTTGGTAAGCACAAAGATTTAAAGCTCTGATCAAGGAATAGAGAGGGCAAATGGGATCCACAGGAGAACATTTCCCTGTGTAATTGGTGATAGCCTCGTAGCTCCATTTAAGGGCTGAGCTCTTCCAGAATGTCCTCTCAGAGAGGATTCCCGTTGCTAAATCCATCTGGAGATAATGGGTGGAGATAATTTCCTGGAGGGCTCAGTTATCTCCTGTGTAAGCACAGTTTAACTGGCTGTAAATACATGCCAATAAACACAGATAAGGAAGGCTACAAATGAGCCACCTCCCTGATCAGGGCTCCACAAAGCCATTTTCTGGGCAGGGCAAACCACTCAGTTGAGACACCCAATTCTCAGGGTAGGTAATGGTCTTAAAAAGCAAAAGCAGCTGAGGCCTGTTCAGTAATGAGTGAGTTCCTGGATGGAATTACAGGCAGGAGATGGAGTGAGGGAAGGCAGGAGAGCCTGGGAGAAGGCTCAGAAGTCAGGAGTACAGTGGTTTTCCCTCCATGTCCATTTAGGTTAAATATTAGGGAGAAATTGTTCCCTGGGAGGGTGGGCAGGCCCTGGCACAGGTTGGCCAGAGAAGCTGTGGCTGCCCCTGTGTCGTGGTTTTGCAACTGGGGGGGGGTTTGCTTTTCCCACAGCTGCCCAGGTGCCCTGATCTCTCTGACCTCCAAAATGAAGTTTCGAGCTTAATGACGAAAAATGAGAAGCTGCAGAAGGAGAAAGAAGCCCTGAGTGAGGAACTGAGCAGATGCATTGATAAGGTGAGAAAGAGCTGCAACTCCACATCAACCTAAAATTCTTGTGTGGTTATGTATCACCATCACATGGAAAACTACTTTGGATCGTTTTTTTTCCCTTACTCTCAAGCCAGATAAAGGCTGAATTGCCACTGCCTGGGGTTTTTTTGTTGTTGTTTTTTTTTTCCCCTAGCTGGTCTAAGAGAGAGGAAAGCTTAAATTCTGGAGCACAGCTTTACTGTAATTTGATTGTGTAGAAAATTCCAAACGCTGCAGTGAAGAGAGGCCCGGGTATAAATACTGCAGCAGGACAAAGGGGGACAGTGTTCTTGGACTTTCATTTGCAGCTTTAACACACTGTAACTCTGAGCTTGAGCAGAGGAACTCATGTGCAACACTGTAAATAACGATCCTGTTGTGTGGAAATTCAGGCTGGGAGCTTGAGGGGTTTTTTTGGTTTTTTTTTTTTTTTTTTTTTTTCTGGCTGCTTGCTCTGCGTGGCTGTGACTCCCTCTGGGTCAACCCTCAAAGTCGAAGTGAGTGAGAGAAAATCCCGAGTGAGGTTTCCCCCCTGTCCCATCTCCTTGCAGGTGGTTCAGGTCAGCTGCTTGGAGAGTGCAATCGGCAGCCTGAAGCAGGAGCAGAAATCCTGGGAGCAGCAGAGCCAGGCACTGAAAGCACAGCTCACCATCTCCCAGGAAAAGGTACAAAAAAGTGGTTGGTTTGTTTGTTTGTTATAGCCCTGGTTAAGAAGCATTTTGATCACCTCTCCTGGTGCTTTCTTTTCACTAAAAGCCCCTTTCTGACGCGTGCAAAGGTGTGTGGAGCTGCTTTGATGGGCTTGCAAAGTGATGTCCTCAAAGGAGGAGAGGAAACTCCTAAATGGAACAAGGGACTTTTCCTCCCCCACCCCAAATAAAAAAAAAAATGATGCTGTTTTGCATCCACAACCAAGTTACTTTTGCCAATTCACTCTGCCTGGTTGTTCCTAAAATACTGCAGAAACTCTGCTGGTGCAGGAGAGAGGGGTGTGAGCATTTGGCTGCTTGGCTGAGCACTCCTGGGCTTTCTCCTTGGCCTGGGCTGCCAGGGAAGAATAAATAATTCAAGGGAAATTTTCTTTTCCAGCACATCCCAGCAAATGTTCAGGGCTGGAAGGTGTCTCTGGTAAATGCAGCCTTCTGTCTGTATGCAAAGTGGATGGCTGCTGCTAACCTGGAACAGAAAGTTGGAAAATCATTTGGAATTATAGAGTTGTAGGGCTGGAAAAGCCCTCTGAGATTGAGTCCAGCCATTCCTCCAGCACTGCCAAGGCCACCACTGACCTGTGTCCCCAAGTGCCACATCCACACAGCTTTTAAATCCCCCCAGGGATGGGGATTCCACCACTGCCCTGGGCAGCTGTGCCAGGGCTGGACAACCCTTTCCATGAGGAAATTTCCCCTAATATCCAACCTAAACCTCCCCTGGTACAACTTGAGGCTGTTTCCTCATGTCCACTTGTTCCCTGGGAGTGGAGCCCGACCCCCCACTCGGCTCCACCCTCCTGTCAGGGAGCTGGAGAGAGAAACTCCAATTTACCCTTTCCAGAGGGGGTTGTACCTTCCCTCCTCCCATCAGAGATCCCAAACGCGTGCGCCACCCGGTCCACACGCGAGAAATCTTGGCCCAGCAAAGCTGATTGCTGCTCGTTGCAGGTGCAGAGCCTCGATGAGACCCTGCAGAGCACCAACCTCCAAGTGTCCCGCCTGAAATCCGACCTGCGGGTGACGCAGCAGGAGAAGGAGACCCTGAAACAAGAGGTGGTGTCGCTGCACAAGC